TTTTATCTATTTAATTATGACAATTATTATTATGTAGAAGATAATTTTCATTAATAATAAAATTTTTTATTTTAATCGAATTTTTCTATCAAATACGTATGAAAAGTTCTTACTGTTCGTAATCAGATTTAAGATTATATATTCAATCTTCAGAATCCCATTTATAATATCTTCAGCCAATTTTCATTTATTTTTATGCTCAGATTTATATTTATACACTTTTTACTTTTAACGTATCAAGTAAATCAAAATAAAGATGAAAGAATGCCAAGTGTTCAAATTTATTACACTACATAGTGTTTAAGCAACAAACAAACAAATTATTTTACTAGTCCTGCTTTTTTTGCAAGCATTAATTGTAGAATCATCAAAGTATTCTTAAATGAAAGCATGTTAACAAATCCCAATATAATTTTTCCAGGTATTGAATAAATGCAGCTCTAACTGAGCAACGATAGAATGTTTCAGTTGCATTAATTGCATAAAGTTTAATGTGCTTTTTGATTTCTTATTATAGTTAGGAAAACTATTGAGAAGAATTTAGAACAGCATTAATAAAAACCACAATCTCTTTATTTGATTAAAAGTTTAGATTATATCTGGTATTCATGACTAGAAAGAAACCAAGAAAAGTAATTAATACCTGATAGAAATATGATTTAAGTCATTTAGTCAATGAGTCATTGAGTCAACAAGTCAATGAGTGGTACATCTTTTAATTTATTTATTCTATCATACTTCATTTTACTGTGTTTTACAAATCTTAGTAAGATACATCTCATTTGGTGAATCTTGTATGACTGTAAAAATACACACTAGCAGGGAACAGTCAACTTAGTGAAGAGAACTGTTTGACAAGGTCACTGTGCATTACTAAAAAGGGGGCTCTTAAACTTTTTAAAACTTCCAAAGTCTCAACCAAGTACTGCATATCACCTTGCCAAGATATGTGAAACAATCTGTTCAAATAAATATTAATATGGGTAAAGAGCATATTCAGAAAACATATGATGATTAACTGAAATAAAGATATAGTTTATTCAATTTTTATTTGTACATATTAATTAATTTTGGTAACTTTTTTCACAAAGGATTGGATATACTTGATTCTTCTCAAGTTTCAGCACTGGCTGTATCGGAATCATGCCATTTATTTGAGCTTCCAGTAGATGTGAATGAAAGGCCAAAGAAAGCAATATGGTTTTATAATAAGAAACATTATATAAGTATTAAATCCCAAATTGTATAGTTAATTTGCAAGATAATAAAAAAAAGTGTATAATAAAACATGATCTTAAGAGAACTGAATTAAAAAATAATTGAATAAAAAAATTGATTTAGATATTATATTGTATTTTGACTGTTTTTGGTATATTGATATGCAACTTGAACCATATTTGTATAAAATCAGTGATCTCTCTTTTTCCAATTAGAAGGTCTCACTCATGCATCAGAAAATGCTTGGCAACTCTGAAATTAGATAATTAATATATTATAAGTAAGCATTTTCATATTTATTATAAAAAGCACTAGTGAATGCTTCACTCTATTTCAAGACAATTCAATCAAGAAGAGAATGCTAATTGAATTATATTGATGTTGTCAGTCAATCTTTTGGATGTATCTCCATATATATTTTTCAAATATGACAGACAAGTACTAATCTACCTCAATTCTTTTAAAGGATGGTTGTGAATATTATAGTCAAGTTTAATAGATAAAATAATTTATCTTATCATAGCTAGATACATTCTTAATAACCTGATTAACAATATTTATAGAATAAACATTTTTATTAGCATTTCAGTTCATGAAAAAATGCATTAGATAGTATACAACTGAGGGGCTATTGGAAAAATAGTACAGGTAACCACCGTATAACACGGCACTTCTATAGCACAGATTCACTCTAACACGGTTTGGGAATTGGGAACATCCCCCATATAACATGGTGGTTTTATAGCACGTATTCACTATAACACAGTTCGGGAATTGGGTAAAACCCTCATACAACACGAAATGTAATAAAGGGTGCATTCTTTTATACTTCCGCATAACTCCACGCGAGCATTCTAATTGTTTTCGTGGCTACTTTGAATGCTCTTTCAACAAATAATCCATTTAATGCTTATATTTTACAATTGGGACCCTTTTTTATTTGCATCTAAAAGCTCATTTTAGAATTATAGATTCCTCCATCACAATACTATCGATAGTGCGGCGCTGCCATCTTTCTTTCACCATCATTCCTAAATGCCTGCAAACAGCAGCACACTCCCGTTGCAGAGCAACCGCTATTAACAAACACACCCAAAAACTGTTACCAGTTGATGATGCTCATGCTGAGACCATCATATAGGATGAATAATCCTCTGGTAAAATATTTACTTAAATAATAAATAAGTATTTTACCTATGAAAAAAATGAATAATAAATACGATTTAAATAAGGATTTAACAGCATGTTTTTTAATTTTTGGAACCTAATCCCCCTTTTTGCACTAGTTCTTTGTTTCGTATAACATGGATTCGCATAACACGGCAATTTTTTGGAACGTAACTCCCGTGTTATACAAAGGTTACCTGTATATCCTATATTAGGAAGTTTTCAAGAAAAAGAAGGATTAGTGTTTCAATTCACCAGCAATTTAATATGCAACATTTTATCAACTGAACCATGAAAGTTTCTTAAAAAATGAGTGAAAGATGCACAAATCCTAATTTGTTAATTCATTTTTTTGTAGATTTGCAGGATACACTGATTTTCCACTAAGCCCCTCAATTGAGATTTTCTTTCAGTGTAGACAACTAGAAAAATATTTTTTGCCTAAAATGCTTTAACACATTTCTAAACTTATCATACCTAATATTAAAACATTGTATCAGTGGTTATTAACTCATGTTTCACAAATGTGCTCTAAGTATTCCATAAAAAATAAAATAAAATAAAGATTTTAAAGTTTTTATTGCAAATTTATCCCAATGTACTATAACATATTACTTTATTNAACTAGAAGTATATTTTTTGCCTAAAATGCTTTAACACATTTCTAAACTTATCATACCTAATATTAAAACATTGTATCAGTGGTTATTAACTCATGTTTCACAAATGGCCTCCACTGTTCCACAAAAAAATAAAATAAAGATTTTAAAGTTTTTATTGCAAATTTATCCCAATGTACTATAACATATTACTTTATTCATAGACAGTTCCATGTTTATTATTTTATTCAATACAATAAAGTTTATTAGTTTATTGCTTTTTTTTTGTTTAATGAGAATAATAAACATGGAATTGCTTATTGATTTTTGAATATATTGATGCTAATGCTCCATGTAATAAAAAGTATATAAAAAGCATATTTTTTTATTTTTAAATTGCAAAATTACTTAAATTTTCAGACTAATAGTTTATTAAATACTCTATTATTTATATAGAAAATTGTAATGTATTATGTTTTGCCTAAGCAATGCCCAGGAAAAACATAATAAGGTCAAATATAGAAACTAAATCCATGTTAAAAGTTTAGGTATTTAGGCTAACTCAAATCAACAGTATTGCTTTGGCAAAGCTTCCAAATCCAGAAGACCCTATATATACTCTTTGAAATCATCACTAAAAATGCAATTCATGTACCATACAGTACCATCATCAATTATTACACAATGCTTACTTAAATAAACATTGTGTAATAATGATTTTTGTTAGTCGTTTTGATCTATATCATTTTTACCCGATGATGTCTATTTTTATATAGACAAAAACATTAGTAAAGTTTTCTTTTCACAGTGCTGGTGTTGGTTTTGTGCATTGTGTGATTACTTAGATAATGTTAAACTTATCAGAAATTTTTTTTATAACATAATGTTAATGGTGTAATCAGAATGAAGAGGTGGGTATCCAGGTTTTATGATAAGCTGTATTTTCTGCAAAATTCTAGAAAAGAACTCTGAAAAATTTTGTCCAGATCAGTCAAAATGTTTAGAAGCATGTAGGAAACAGACATTGTTTTATATAAATAGATTAATTTTATTGGATCAGAATGTTAAATTTTGTCAAATTATACTATAGTCAACACTACAATGCCATCTAAACATATTTTCATAAAACCAGTTTTGAAAATTAATTATACTCAATCAAAACTTTATTTTGCAAAAGGAAATTTTTCCCTGTTACAGGGGGAAGTACATTTTTAATTTAGTAGAATATACATTATTAAAATAGTTAACAGAACAATAGTTGTAATAGTCGTTTTGCAATAATTTACATTTTAGTTTTTTTTTTATATAATTAACAATGAGTTAAATTACATTAGTTTTGAAAATTAATTACAGTATTATTAAATAGAAATCTGTCATAAAAATAATTTCTTATTAAATGGTTTCAAGTTATAATTTTATATTGACTATCTTACATAACTCAAAATATTATTTGATCTTTCTTAAATCATAGAAAATTAATGGATCAAACATGCATTTTTTATGAAATGCAAAAAATTAAATGATTATCCAAAAAAACTTTTAAATATTTTAAAGACAAATTGTAATCATTCAAATAGCATATCTGAGGAATGAACATTTAAAAAGTGTCTTTTTATTCCTTCCTTTTTAAAGGTTTACATTCTTAAGATATGCTTAAAATAACTTGTGTTTTATTGATGAATATTTAATAAATTCTTCGTAAAAATTAACTATAAAATTTAATACTTATATTTAGGAAATTTTACAGTATACAAAATCAAAATACAGTATGTTACTATTTACGTTGTTTGTTCATTTTGTAATTGTTCACTCTCGTTATAAAATGTTTGACGATATATTTATAAATGGTGAATTTGAAGACGAGCTACAAGAGAAAACAAATTACAAACACTTTAACACGCTTATCTTTTCGCTTTCATTGTTTTAAGGTGTTTTATTTCAACAGTGGATAATACTAACAAAACTGTATTTTATTTTTATAGATTTTCTTCTGTTAATAAGAAATTCAAAAGTTACCTTTTTGAATTATATATCCTGAATACGAAAGACATATTATTTAATTTTATATAATATAGATTACATTGAAACTCTCAAGTGTTAAAAATATGTTAAATCTTTTGGCCTTTTAAAGTATACATTACTACCGTTTCTGTAACAGTTGCTATAGCAACAGCATCGTTGATAATATCTAACATCCCCACAGGTTTTTCTTTTCTTTCTTTCTTTTTTTTTAAATCAATAATATTTATTTATTTAAAATTTAAATATTTGTAAAATAATATTAGCGCAATCATCAAAATAAATAATTTATAACACAAATTTCGTTAATCAATTTCATATTAAAAAAAATTTTAATTTTTCTCTTTCTGCCCTATGGGTACTTTTTTAGACTCTTTCCGCGCTGTGGGTACTAAAAGGTCTCTTATACTAAGCCTATTATGGGTTCGGACAGGCCCACAATGGGGAGGTTGGTGGTAAGGAACCCGGACCGACATATACGATCGGATCACCTCCCAGAAAAATTCCTGGGGAGAATACCTGTATTATTAGAGGTCTGGAACAAGAAATTATTGGAAAATAAATAAATTTTTACTAGACTTCGTATGTGAATTTTTAGCAAATAATAAGAAAACTCTATGTTAGTTCATATATACATAAACATCGTATTTGATATTCAATTGGAGGAGGCCGGATGGACGAGCGATCAAGGTGGCAGCCTGCCGTTCTGAGGGATCCGGGATCGAATTTTTCGGGGGTGGTCCGTTCTGATATGTCGGGCATCATCCATCACCACCCGGTCACCCCATTGTGGGCCTGGCTGAACCCATAATGGGCCTGCTTTAAGAGGCCCTCTTAGTGTCCACAGGGCGGAAAGAGTAAAAAAAAATCCAATTGGATAAGTATACTCATTCTGCTGAAAAAGCTCTAAATATAGCAATTTTTAAATATTAATTTTGATTGTTTCCGTTATTCCGAACTATTCACCGGAAAATAAAACAGAGGTCAAAATTTCCATATGGAAAGGAAGAAAATGTTTAATTCACGTTTTTCATATCAAATCGCCGCTGGATACCCGGACTTGTTCTGGTAACAAGTCCGGGTGGTCTAAAAATCCAAGAGATTTTTGAAAGGTAGTCTCTCTCGGATATGTCGGTTTCCCGTCCTTTATCATTTGGCCGCCTCATTGTGGGTCTAGTTAAACGCCAGGCCCATAATTAGGCAATAGGCTTGAAAAAAAGTCCCTCTTACTCAAAAAGACCTACGGCCCACTTGTTATCAGTTATTTTCAAGTTAGAAGTTTCAAAATGCATATCGTAACGGTCCGAATGTCAGTTTGCGTTAAGTTAATCATGCCTCCAGTAAACACTCATATAGTTATAAATTAAACGGCTGAAAATTAAAATTCTTTATATTTCGTGTAACCTAAGGCGCTAGATTACCTAGGTATGCTCATACGCTTCCGTCACGTGTGCAGCCATATTGGTCCTTTTGACGTCATATTCCAAGATTTTTAAATTTAGCTGTATTTTATAACTAGTTGAACTAAATTTTGGCAAAGTTTATCATTTCGACCTTGCAAAATCTAAAGATACAGTTGAATTTATGATTATTTTCGTGTCTCTTCTATTGAACTTCTACGAGAGTCGTCAGCTTTCTAAGGACCAACATGGCGGATGAGCATACCTGGGTTATCTAGCGCCTTAGTGTAACCCAGATGGTTAATGGAAAGTTGTTGATATAAGATATATGGATTTACAATTATAGATTACAGGCTTGTAATTTAGTGATTGTAACGGCTGAAGAGGGACAGCTTATCTGCCCAAAATGCATTCAGTATTGTGGTTACAAAAAAATACTTATAAGTTATAAGTTCATCAGTCTCTGAGTGAGTTCTCGATAGTGTGTGATAAGTCCTAAAAAGAGCTATTTATAGTGCTCAGATAATTAATTAATAGTCGAACAAGAAACATAATATTAATTCAAATACAGTAGAGCGTCGATTTTCCGAAAGTCAATCACCCGAAACGTCAATCATCCGAAAGAATTCCAGTCGGCAAACTTAAATTTTCGCTAGTGCTGTGTCGCTTCAATTTTTGGCTATATCTTGGGCTACTCAAATATTTTACGTTTTTGATACTAAATTAACATCTGAAGTATAATTTTTTTATTATTTTTATATTTTTCAATATATTTATTTTGTTTGTACAAAATAAAAAAATAATTTTTAACGATACAATAGTCTTTGTTAGGCTTAACATCGACGAAAATTCAACGCTAAGCGACACGCAACGGAGAAAAATTTCGGCATCGGATACGTTAAACTATTTTTTCGTACGTAAATCAGTTATCCGAAATATCAGTTATCCGGACAACCCCAGTCCCCAATTGATTCGGAAAATCGACGCTCTACTGTATACAGTATGTCATACTTGCCAACCTTAGATTTTAGAAGAGGTTGACTTGCTAGCTAGGAAATTTTGAATACAAAGGCTAAAAAAATAAAAACACAATTTGTAGAAAGATTGTAGACCAAACTTGCGACAATTCTAAGAATTTATTCAAGCTTTATTCACTTATCACAATACTGTAATAGGTTTATAATATTGGCTTTTCCTATTTGACATATTACTAATAGTAAAAAAGTACTGTAGAATACAGAGTAATAGTATGTTGTACTATACATAGTATTATATAAAAAACTAATTATCTATAGAAAAAATATTACAAAAATAAGTAATTCCTGATAGCTTTGAGAATGTGATTTTAGCATGTGACTTAGATACAATAACCTCGCGTTTTTTATGCAGCGCTCGAGAAGCGCTTTACAGCGAACACACTGAAACTGGTTTCTAATTGGCCAATACTGCTCGTGACGTCATTTCGCTACACTCTCGCTGCATAAAAAAACGCGGGGTTTCTTTCAAGTCGGCATTCTGGTGCCAAAGAGCGGAAGCTCTCGTATATCTATCACGTTTTGAGACAAAATTTTATACAGTACGTGGAAATTTTTTAGGAAAAACTTAATTCTTTTCAATTTAATTTAAAGCTTCCATTGAAATTCTCGCATGTGTATGGTAACGTTGATCTAAAACAATGTTAATGTTGGTTGAATGGACAATTTTTAAGAGAATACAAGTCAACTTGGAATTTTTAGTATTGGTCGTAAATCCACGTTCGTGAAGACGATGCATTAAAAGAGTTATGTTAGCCAAAAAGGCGGAAATTTTCTAGTTCAGGCTGGAGACTGACAGTTGCTTCTAAAGGCGGATTCTTAGTCCGAAAGGCAACATATCATATATACAACTATTAAATAAATAAATTGGAATATTTGATCCAATATGTTAATTATAAATAAAATAACATTAAAATTCAAATTTAACAATTGAAATATTTATTTAATACACGCATTTACACTTCTCTCCCTGTAAAAATTATGCATCATATATTTATATAAAAAATAATTTTACTATTGTGCAGTTTGTATATCACAATTCTTACATCATAAAATATTTATTTATTATCTTAGAAGAAACGAGCGATTACAATAGCAGAATTAAAACAGTTGTCCTGAATTTTTTATGAAGTAACACTAAGGAAATTTTGGAACACATTCATTGCACAACTATAGATCCAAATTTAGAATGCATCGTAAAGAGAGTATCAACTAGAATCACGCTTAAATAAGACGTTTTAATTTTACTAAAACATTCTTATCTACTTTCGATTTTAAAAAGATTATTTTTAATTTATCAGCTATATCTTCCCTTTCCTTCACAATTATTTTATTAAAGTTGTATTTAATATTTTTATTTATTCACTAAATCGATAAAAAAAACGAACTACTTTTTACTCTATTAAAAATATATTTTAGGAATAAAAAAAAATATTGTCATTTTAAATATATTGTATTATATATTTTTAAATATTAACGTTAATATATTTACGAAAAATTTATCTCGAAGTATTTTCTTAATGTATTATAAGCATTAAATGTATATAATTAATAATTCAAAATTATTATATAAATATTGTTGTTTGTCTACTTATTAAATTCGTGAAAAAATTTAGTTTACTGAAAATATTTATATAAAGAAAGAAAGATTATTATTTTTAATTAACACTATCAAAATGAAAGGAATTTCAATACAATTAAATTTTCTATTGTTTTTAACTCAGGAATAGATGACAGGAAATGAAATAGTTCCTTTTTTTTTCAGCATCATTTGATATCAGAAAATTTCTTGTATTATTTAAAAAATTTAAATTATCTAAACCAATTTTACAGAAATACAATTAATATTTTTCTTCTGAAATTTAATTATATTTATTTAACAAAAAAAGGCTTTTTTCTTTAAATATAAAAAGATCGTTATTTAATATATTTTTGCCATTTAAATATACAATTTTTAAACCGAAACATTAATATTTATAACATTTTCTAATGCGTTTTTATAGATATTTATGATTTTAATTGTAAGTAAGTCATAAGTCTGCCTGGCTTTCGGCCAGAAGAAGGCGTTGGCCATTCTTAGTTCTATAGTTAAGTGCTGTGGAGTACGCTTCTTGGCATCTCGAGCGGGAAAGCACGTTTTATACAGTAAAATGGCTGCGAGTTTCGATCCATACGATAAAAACAGGTAAGTACAGATCGAAACTCGAAAATAACTTGCTACTTTAATAATATGCATAAACACGAAATATTGTTACGTCTGTGTTGTTTACTAGGCTTAGCATTAAGCCTAAATTCAGTTGTTTTAGATTTAAGCTTTTTTTTTTTTCCTCAATTTAATTTTAAGTAACTAATTAGATAAACATTATATATGAAAACTTACATTTGCTTGCAATTTTCTGATTTTGAAGATCATAGTCAATTCAGTTGGAAATAGTCTTGTATCACAGTACACGATTAAAAAACTATAACGATAATATAGCAGTAGTTAAAATTGCTGTTAAAAAAATCACAAATTTTATATGCAAACTACAGATAGTGGTCCTAAGAATAGTTTGCCTGATTTTTGTTTATTTTGTTTTTAAAAAAAAGGATGATGATGAGAGATTATATACTTATATAATAATTTCAGTTTTATTTGTAATAACTTTAAAAAAGAACACAATTAATTGTTTCATAAAATAATTCTGTAACTGTCTTTCTTTTAGAAGTCAGTCATACGAGGGCTGTTTCTTTTTCAACCTCCAATGGTCCATAAAACAAAAACAAGTGTAAATAACCAAATGAATTTATTACCAAAAGTTAAGTACAAACATGGTTACTTTTTGACATAATCACTGTGAAGATTGAGGCATTTGTCATATCTGTGGATGAGCTTTTCCATTCCCTCTTCATAGAATGTTAATGCCAATGACTTGAGATGGGCCCTAACATTGTTTTGAAGATCGTTATTAGGTCTCAAACCTCTGCTCTCTTAGCCACGTTTTCAGTTCAGAAAAGAGGTGGAAGTCGCTTGGCACTAAATTGGAGCTTTACACTGAGTGTTTAAAGGTGGTGAAGACTTCCACCCAGCTTGGAACGTTTTAATGTGTGAAGACTTCCACCTCTTTCCTGAACTGAAAACGTGGCTAGCAGGGCAGAGGTTTGAGACTAATGATGAACTTCAAAACAACATTAAGGCCGTCTAGAGTCATTGGCGGCAACATTGTACAAAGAGGGGATTTCAAAGCTTGCCCATAGATAGACAAATGCCTCAATTTTCACAGTGATTATGTCAAAAGTAACCATGTTTGTACTTAACTTTTGGTAATAAATTCATTTTGTTATTTACATTTTTCTTTGTTTTATGGACCATTGGAGGTTGAAAAAGAAACAGCCCTCATATTTACAACTAATGTTTGTAAACTTCAATATAGTTTTTGAAGAACAATATTCCAACTTTTGAATTATTATTTTACAATTAAATCAATTTTTTCTTAATCAAATTTTATATATTTATGTATAATTTCAATGTTTTGTTAATTTCTGAATATTATATTGTGCTGCAAATATTTTTCTATTACTGTGTTCGATGTAATTTTGTTAACTTCTTACGTATTTTTCAATAGAATGACATTTTTATAAAAAGACATTATGATCTGTATTGTGTTCAAATTGTGTTAAATGTAATGCTATCTTTTCTTAGATAACTCCGGGTAAATGATATTCAGAATTATAATATATATGTAATAACGTAACCAATCAGATGATGGCAGAAAGTTTAAATTCAATTTATGTTGATAAATAGCTTTCTAAAATTTCATATTTAATTTAATTTTCTCTCTTTTATTGTAATTTCTCAAGAATTGAAGAATATTCCAAAACATAGTTGGAGAATCTAATTACTTGTGAAAATTCTATGACTACATGAAATGCTCCAGGTATTTCAAGTAATTTTTTAATGGATATACCCATCCTTCGCCAGTTTCACATGATCACCCAGGATGGAAATTTGCCTCATTTACTGCCGACGGGTTAAACTATTGACCACTGACCACTGTTGTTGATGTAGATTGCATATATCCAAAATTATATTTGAACATTCCTTTAATAGAACCTATTCACAAACAACTTGATTAATAATACAATTCTCATCAATTTTTTGTTTAATAGATTGAAATAAAGGTTCACCATTTTAATAATAGTATTTGTTAAATTAAATCTTAATGTTATCATTTCACATTACAATTTACTTACCCAAAACTGTTTTTCTGAAATTCACATCATTGTCATCCAAGAACTTTTGGATTGATGGCCAGATGGCCAAACAGTTAAAATGATAACCACTCTTGTGGACCTTGGATCAAATCTAGATAGGTTGAAAAACCATAGGAATTTTTTAGGGTGGTCTCTCTGGATAAATTGAACTCTGTCTTTTGCCACTGAGCTGCCTCATTGGAGACCCAGCCAAATCTATAATGGGCTTACTGAAAGAAAGGTCTCCTTAGTGCCCACAGGACAGAAAGAGTTTATAAAAAAAATATGTACTTTCAGGTTTCTACAATTCATCTTCAAAGACAACAGTGAAAATAAAAAGCAGTTTTAGAAGAATAAATTGATGCAGGAGTTTTTATTTATAATAATTCTAAAAAGTAATTAGAACATCTGGATCATTAAGAATTTTAATTTGGTAATTTTTTTAATTGATAAACATTTTCAAAACTAAGCTCAAAGCTCTATCTTAGAGCTAAGCATATTAAAATGAATGGCATAAACTGGTTAGAAGTATGAGGAAGAGTCATGGAGATGATTATGTTTCCTGTTTAATAGTTTGGTGGAAAGCAAAGACTATGCAGGAAATACAAATGATTATATTTATGTAATGCACTTTATAACAAACTGATATAAAGAATAAAATTTTTAAATAAATTGCTTAAAATTTAGTGGATACTAGAAAGAATTTGATTGAAAAATAATATTTATCAAATAAATTATAACCTTATTGAATTTGTTTTGTCTATTTAAAATGTTTATGATTTTACAATAAATTATAAACATTTTTACAATCATATATTTGATAAAAATTGTATTAGTATCAATCATAGATTATTTCATTACTAAAGTTTTGGTTATTCACAATGAATAGGCCTAGTTCATAATTAATATTGGTGAATAATATATTCATAATGAATATAATGTCTTTGGTTTGGACAATGTAATCTTTTGGGTCTTTGGACAATTTCAATATTTTTGACAATTAAAAATTATTTATTTGAAAATTAAATAGGATAGAATACATTATTCTTATTGTAAATATTAGTACTTGTTATTCCTATAAAAACTACAATTTTACAAATATCCACTCTAAAAACCATTTTATGTAGTAAGATTTTTTTATTTTAACATTTTTGATTGTCTCAAGTGCTCTTTTTCAGGAAAAATAATGTTCTAAAAGAACAAATGCCTAACAGTTTTCTAGAATGTATTTGATTTATGGAATGCTATTGATAGAACAAATTTTGATATATATTTTTTATATAATGTTATTTTTCTTGAAGAAGATTGTTTAAGATGATTGAAAATGTTACAATAAAGAAATATTACTGCATTAAATTGTGTTTAGAGTGGGTGTTTGTAAATATTAGTAAGTAGCCAAAAAATGTCCATGCCATTTCTAAAAGCAAAGTCTTTCAATAAGTGTTAATTATTCCCAAAATACATTTGGCTTGTAATAAAGACAAATAGTGCAATTCTTTTATATCTGAAATTAATCTATTTCATTAGTCATCATTCTAATAATTATAACAATATTATTTTGTTTTTCTGCTATACAAAAAGCATTTAGATATTGAATAAATCATCATAATATAACTACTGGTTACCTATTTCATGCCAAATGAATTCCCAGATTATCAACATTTATAAGATGCTATTCTCAAATATGGTTTGCATATTTTTAAATGGTCCAATATCAGATGTTTAACAACTAAAAATTAAGTGATACGACATAACAGTTTATTTTAACCTGAAGAAGACCTCGTCTGAGGCCGAAAACATTTGTTTTTACGAATAGTTTAAAGTACCGGACAATAAAGGTTTAGTAAGTGCGATTTTATCAGAATACCGGTATTCAGATTAGAAGATTTTTGAATAACAGTTTAGATTTAAATCTAGAATATGAAATAATTACAGCAAAAACATCTTCCAAGGATGATTATAAAATTAAACTTCATCATATTTGATTTAATACTAGTATATTATAATAATGAAATTAAGTATTTAAAATACAGATAGATAGTAAATTACACATAAGTTACAAATACCAATCCATACTAATTTCACTTAAATTTTTTCTGGTATATACATTTATTGTCATAAAAATTAACACACCAAGAAGTTGTTGTATCACTGTGAAACTTGGCATGCAGATAAGTCTCAAGCAGATATGGAAGTGATTAGAGTTAGTGTGATGGCTCACTGCATAATGCCAGCAGAGGGCATTAAAGTGTGTCTCCCTTGGTTTATAAAAAAAAGCATGCCAAGGCATCCTGTCTGTATTTTATCTGTTGCAGAGGGACACTGTATCACTAGGGATACCTTTATATCTCAAAGACTATATGAACAACTAACTGAGTTTGAGAAGGGAAGGATCATCAGGTTGAGAGAATCTGGATGGTCATCTTGCAGAATAGTCCACCACCTAGGCCCACACCAAGAAGGAGTTGTCAGAATTGAACAAAATATGACAATACTGTGAGATGTTGGGTCCAATGGACGAGATAGCTTGCACACATGGTGCTCAGGCTCAGAATACCCTTAGCAGACCACTAGCCGAGAGGACTACTGGTACTCCAACAAGCATGCATGCAACCTACTGTATCATTGTACATCATCTAGACACAGTTAGCACCATTATTACAGGCCTCTGTGTCTGTCTGTACTATTTTGAGGTGCTTGTGTTAAGAACATTTGGTATTGCAATGGCAATTACATTGTTGCCATTGACAGCCACTCACTGTCTTCTTGGAGTGATGTTGCTCCCAATGGGATTGAACTGAAACAGAATGGAACTGGATCATCTATAGTGATGAATCAGATTCACTTTGGTCACTGATGATGACCATATTCAAGTTTGGAGGCATTCACCATGGAGCTTGTCCAGTGCTTTCAAAAGATAATGAAATTATTAAAATTCAATTATTTAATACA